GCTGTGTTGCCCCTCATCTTTTCACCCATCAACGGCAAAGTATCCCGAAGATCCATAGTGTGACGGCAAGTCTGATGTGGAACAAGTTGCTGCAATCACTGCTTCCTTGAGAAGCGACCCGGTCTGTTCTAAGCTACCTCTTGCGTGCTTGCCGAAGTATTTACGGCGTATAGCGTTAAAGTTGACAGACATGGGTCGTGGTCAGGGTCAGTTATTTAGGTGCCCTTGCAATGGTGGAGTGACTCATTAGTTGACAAGCCTCAATGTACACGTACGCACCCTGGAGTCAAGATGTATCTTCCATTGGCTGCCGGACTGTCATATTCCGAAGTTCAGTTCTTGAGAATGCGTTATTTTTTGGCGTTTGGAAAAGCAATGACTAAATAGAAGGCACAAAGATTCTAACCTATGCTATTGTAGATGTCTTGATCACTTTCGGAAAGTCTTAATCGTCCATCAATGGATGTTGGGATTATGTTCATCCTTACAAGCCAACGCAGTCATGTGCAGAAATTCCGGTGGAATTGATCTACCTAGGTATCATTCCCCGAAAAGAACAGTGAATGTAACGTTACAAGTCCGCACCGAGATCATCTATTGGCGGATGTCGGTATCTTCATAATACTCATAGCCCCTCTATGCTATTCTCACTCTATGCACACGGAGAGTAAAATTTGTTCCCGTCCCAGAGGCCCCAAACTCTCGATCTGCATTTTTGCTGCCCGTATCATCAGTTGTATCCCATCAAAAACCTTGAGGGAAAATGATAAAACCAGGCACACAGACCGCTTTGACAAGACCAATATCGCTATGTGGAGAATTCATCTCTTGAATCGCACCTGTCTCCCACTCTCGAGATTTCATAATTTTACTTGACCGAGTTGGGTGCCAACACTCCCATACTTGCGTAATATATGCCTGGGGTTGCCGATTCTTGCAACCACGTAGCCAATCCCGCAACAAGATGCAAATGCTGGACCTCAACTTTCTATCAAAGCTCAGGGTCTCCCATTCCACCCCAACAAGAAATCCTGGCCCCATAAACGAGATTATACAAGGTGACACTTGAAAGTTCACCCCTCTACACTATTAGTAGTGGCGTCTCCTCATGTGTTGCACTTGCATAGAACCATTATTTAGCCCAACGCCGATCGAAAACCGAAACCCGAAGCCCCATTCATTCCGCTACCTCCGCGGCTACCTCCACGGAGGACATCAGCAGGGATTGTAGATACCGAGCCTTCGCACAGATGACTCAACCTTGTGGTCCATCTATGGGGGCGATCTCATCATCATCGCCGCTATCATACTACGTACTTGTGTTCGTTGCATCGAGGAACTCCCATTCATTCTGTCTAACTTGGCTAGGGTCAAGAAATAATTTTCCGTCATCTCCCCGACCCCTCTTGAGGTCATACGTAAGAGATAGAGACTAAAGTTTCAGCAATGGAAGATGCCAGAGCACGACAACTCTACACAATGAATCCTCTTGAGATCATATCCACCGGGATTCAAATTGGACCCTTGGCTTACGTGGATAGTTGGGAGTATTGAAGCCTTCCAGTGGGGCTCTCAGTTGCACCTAAAAACTGATCTAGGCACTGATTGGACCTAAAACGCGATTGTCATTCAAAGAAGGATCGTAGAGCTAAGAAGCTATTTTCTTTGAAAGTTTGGACATAAGGATCATACATGTCGCCCGGCACAAAGCCGCCCCTGTCTTGATTGCTATCATTCATTGTGTTGAGTTGTCGGGCCCCGGCACTTCTTTTGCTGTTAGACTTTCTACCTAGCAATTCTTACGTACGTTTTGATTGCTATGCGAGGAAATATTCCATGTTGATACCATCCAATGAGGACGTTCAGGCAGATAGAGAGACACGAGATTGCCAGACTATCCAAATGCTTACTCTTAAACATTGATTCGTAGAAAAATAAAAAATTTTGCTTTCCTATCTTAACCAGACTTCCTCTGACTTAATGATACTTCATCTGGACAACTACCTCTAGTCCCACTTGCGTTCGATCCGCTGGCTTTGTCTTTTGAGTTTCTGAGTGTATGTAAACCTCTGAAGAACAAACTCGACCTGCCTTCAAGCTATCTAGAAACTCTCTTTTTGGACTTATTCTTGATGAATCTTTCTAGTCAATGTTCGCTTAAATACACTCAATGGAGAGGCTCAAGCATCCCAGGAGGACTTTCCTCCATGACGTTCACAGGCGTCATATGTGGCAAAATACGTTCATGCTGCTAGGACTGTAGGGTAATATGCATGGATATGTATGTTAAAGGGAGCATGCATTTAAGGAGCTTCTTTATTCTGTTGGACTTTCAACGTGTCTTTCTATGACTGCTGGCGATGGCAATGAAGAACATTACGTTCAAGCGGTTTCAATTGGGCGTGAAACAGAGGAAATGGCACTAATGAGCGGTTGTTCAAGAGACTCAGGCTTTGCTGTTAGAGAAATACTGGCTACGATGTTCTTTCTAAAGAGTATCTTGACTTCAAAAACTACTGACGATATTCGGAGTAAATAACTCGGAGCCTTGGTCAATTTTTGATTTTACTATGGTGGCTAAATATAACAAAAGATGGCAGGAAAGAATAGAGGCATGTCGTGGATGTGTTAGACACAGGGGGGAGTTTCTGAAGCATTATTGATATTCTATAGGAATGATACAGATAATCTGTTTCAATGAACCGAATGCTTTCATCCACGCCTGACTTGACTATTGGAATTCGACAGGGACCTTTTCAAGAAGTACCGGTACCTCCTCGCCAGGAGCTTGATAAGGATCCAGAGAAGTCTTTCTCTTTATCAAATTAATCACCCCATTAGCCCATTCAACATCATCCATCAATTTTTCTGCGCTGAAATAGCCCACGCTCGAGAACAGTTGTAATTCGTGGCTTGCGTGAAACCTAACAACCAAAGTCGCATCCGAGGGCTCTGGGGTACTTCTGCAACAAAGTGGTGGTCGTCCTCTTTCTCCGACTTGAGGCCCCTCCTGAATGACAAACTTCACGCCCTCCCTGCTACTCAAGTACCGGGTACTGCTACTATCAAACTTGTATGAGCTTAAAGCATGGCGGGGCGCCATCGCTCTGCACAACACTAGACCTGTCTCCCCATTTCGAGCGGTCTCATCGAAAGTCATGAAACCGTATTGCCTACCCCAAAGGATGGTGATTTGGTGGATTTCAACAAAATGGTCTCTGTGGCACCTCATAGCCTCGGAATAGAGTATGTCGGCCTCTAAAGCCTCTTCTGTGTCATCGAAAGGGTCAAAGGCAGGTCTTTGAGCCATGATGGTTTCTATTTCGTTCGACGAGAGGGTGTGTTGGTGCAGGCAATATTCTGGATGATTTGGGGTTGATGCCGATTTGTTCAAGAATTGGAATATCTTTTGGTTCGAATACTCACCCAGAGAAGGAAAACGACGGGCTGCGGACGTGTTCAAGATGTAAATAAACAGCACGTGTGCCTCAGTGGCAAAAAAACATGAGAGTTCTAAGCTTCTGAGAAAAGTGTATTGGTCTGAACCACAGGACATCATTTGAATTTTTGGTTCTGAGTAATTCTGTGGCAAGAATGTTCGTACCCTAAAGCTAAAACTTGATTTCGCTTGCTAGTTGCAGAGAGTCAAATTAAGGATAGCCAGTCGCGACCGCCTGCCAATTGGGAATGTTATTATCGCCTACAAAGTTTAGTATTTTAGGCTGCTGAAGCTATCGTAATGTGCGGTGAACCATGTGCAGGGATGAGGACTCAAGTTACTGTGCTTGGGCAAACTCGAGAATCTCGTGTATGATGACTCAACTGTGTATTGTTCTTGGTTCCTTCCGTGAACTACAATTTGAGGGTAACTCACATAAACCTCATTAGCCAATACGATGCGGTTTGTGGACGTGGGCAAACCAGATGAGAACCTACGTCCGGCCTCTCTCGTATAACGAGAAGAAAATACCGGAACCGGGCTCCGAACTGCACACATCTCTTCATCAATTAACCCAAGAGGCATTTAGGGAAGCTAGTTGCAAATGGCTAAATATTCTCCGATCAAATGATAGGCAGAAGCCTGTTGAGACCCTGCTTCGCCTTTACCAGCCTTGACGGGCCACTGAGTTGCATGTATTCAGTCTACCAACAGAATTATAGACATTGTTTTGTTTTCATTAGCTGGATAGGATGTACGGGCATAGTGTTGGCCTCAACCGCTATCTCGGGCTTGGATTGCACCACACGAAGTCCAAATCCAGTGAACAACGTATATGCAAATTGAGTTTGCGACATTCAACGACAGCCCATCCGACCAATCAGGATTGGAAATTTAAGCGACCTGGAGCAAATTGGATAGTAGTAGTAAGTAAGTAAGTGAGGGAGCTGTACAGCTGCTAAAAAAAAAAAGGGGGAATTCCCAAACACCAGTTTAAAAAGAAGGTATAATGGTGGAATTAAACCACCTGCGATGGACGAACAGGGAATCGAACCCTGGACCACTCCCAATAGATGGGCTCAAGAGGCGAGAACATGCTAAGGGAGTATTATACCACTAAACCATTCGCCCAAGACTTAGTTGGCCGTAGGTAGGGGGGCCGGCTAATCTAGGCCCGCCAAGTAGTTGTTGCAAACTGGACAAGTCAAATATTCTGGATTTTGCAAGTTGGAGATTGAGGCATGGCTGGGACTCAAGTTTCATGGGTCGGATAATTTCCCTTTTCTGGAAGGGTTAATCCTATGATCTAGCAATTGAACAACCTGTTTATTACGTATCACGGAAAGGCCGCTTGGATAAGGGATCGTGAGTTTCTTGGCCTTAGATCAATGAATACCCAATTACCACTAGGAGGTATCATAGCATTGCGTGGATTCTACTTGCAAGCAAAAACTCAAAGCTTACATGGACTGAGGAACACCTTTCAACAAATTTACGATCAAAACATCTTCATTTTAATTCCTCGAAACTGGCAAGAGCCATTGTCCTATGACGTACTGTTCTATTCCGAGCGAATCAACACCTTAATAGAACCGCTTTGGGGATCTGAAGCTGTCTTGAAAGCCTCCACTCCGGTCGCGAGTGTAAATTCATGAGTCACAAGTCTCTTCAGGTTAACCATCCCGCTTGAGAGAACTCGAATTGCTCGTGGCCACATGTTGACATAGCGTTGTTGAAACTCCACTTGAACTTCTTGCGCACTGCATCGCATAAATGGAATCTCCATCTTCTCCTTGCCAACCCCGATGATGAACACTTTACCACCGAACTTGACAGACTGGATAGCATTACTGACGGAACTCTCAACACCAGTGCATTCGAGAGCAACAGCAACTTCCGCGCCATCTCCCATGGCTTGGTGAATCTTCACTGCAACCTCTTCGGGGCATTGTCCCTTCTCCACCAGGTGAGTCCGCACATCAGGCATGATTGTTTTGGCAAACTCCAGACGCTTCTGATCAATGTCTGTTATAGCGATTGGCCAGGCCCCGGCTGCTCGACAGACGTCTAAGGTGATAAGACCAATTGGACCTGCTCCGCAAATGAGGACAGGGTCGCCGATCTTAACCCCAGACCTGGTGACCGCAGTCAGCGCAACACTGAGGGGTTCGAGAAGGGCGCCTTCGTCGTATGAAAGATCCCCAATCTTGTGGCACCACATGGCTGGGTGATTGACGTATCGCCGTAAAAGACCGTGTGAGGGAGGCGAGGATCGGAAAACCAGGTCTTTGCAGCCGTTGTAGCGGCCAGTGAGGCAAGGTTCGCAGACACCGCAGATGATGTGAGGCTCTATAGCAACCCGGTCTCCAACCACCAAATTCTTGACGTCGGGATGGGTTGCTATCACGACACCAGCGGATTCATGTCCCAGGATATGAGGTCCAGTAACTTTCCACGGTCCGATACCTCCATGTTTCCAGAAGTGTATATCGGAACTACGAACCACAACCTTGAATCAGCACTGAAATAACGTGGAAATATGAGCGAACAAAGCCACTGAACTGTTGGCTGGTTAGTTCTTACCCGCAGATACCGGTAGACTTGATCGCTACTGTAACCTCGCCGGGATCGAGGCTGGACCCGTTCAAGGCCTTTTCTAAGGTAGGGGCGGCTGGGCCAAGGTAGAGCTTTTGTTCGAGATCGATATGAATCCCGACATTCTCCAATTTCGGCGTGAGATCTGAGGTTTCTGACATAATTTTCTCCCAAAAGGTCTGAATGGAATATGATCGACTTGGAGTTTCAGAATCGACGATTTGATCGAGGTATTAAGGAACAGGAGCGGCTTGTAACTAATACTAATCACCGGTAGTAGCCATGACTTTATGGTATGCGAAGAAGAGTAGGCGTGTTTCCCCACCAGATCCTAATTTGCCCCCGTATAAGTGCGGGGAAGGGAAGGAAGTCGTAGGGTGCCATCACCATGCCATCACAAGTGGTGACAGCATCATCGAGTAGATAGCTTGTGGAGTGAAATTATGGAGACGCATAAATTACCAGAAACGGAATCGCAGCCGATGCATCCGCTAACAATATGGCAAAGTTTAGTTCTCGGTATGCTTGTCTAGTGGAGTTTACACCCAGGATTGATGAGCACGGGATCGATAACTAGAAAGGCCGCATTGAACGGTGGAGTCGTGTCGATGCCGATGCTGAAGAGAACCTTCCTAATTATATCCATTCATTGTTAGACCATATTTACAGTAACTGGCTTGGGAGAGACTTACTCAATCTTACTCAATCTTAGTCCTCCCCTATGCACACATTCTAGTTCGTCTTATTATTGGTCACCCTCCTATAAACCTATCTCTGCCATCCCCTTGCCAGTGACTAAGGCAAAGAAGATGGCTCCTACGTTCTGCCTCAAAGGTAAAGTTGTGGCTGTCTTTGGCGCATCGGGGCCCACGGGTATCGGCTTGGAATCTGCCCGAGCCTGCGCTGAGTTAGGTGGCGATGTCGCCCTTACATACCTTTCGAGAGGAGAAGGCTGTATCAGGAATTCTAGCGAGCTCGCAGAATCATATTATGCCAAAGCTGAGGCGCAAAAGTGTGATTGACATTCGCAGCTGGAGCTAAGTTTAAAAGGCCGTTGATGTATTGAGCGACTTTGGCCAACTTGACCTTTTTGTTAACAATGCCGGTCAAGCTTTTTAGAGAGAGTTGAGAGGAGGTCACTGAGGTTGGTCTTATTGGAACATGTTATTGCTCCAAGGTCGTCAGGACTCATTTCAAGAGTTGAGGATTTGGATCGTTCATTATCACGTTGTACATTTCAGGACACGTCGCTAATTTTTCCCAAGAGCAAATTTTCTACATGTCGCTAAGGCGGGCTGCATCCAAAGTGCCATCTCTTGCAAATGATTCGCAAGACTTCGGCTGGTGAACTCTTTGCTGCCTAGATATACTGAGACGGGACTATCTGACTACGTTCCCCTGGGACGAAGCAAACGTGGAGGTACATGACCCCGATGGGGCACATTGGCTAGCCGAAGGAATTGATGGCAATATACGGTATCTGGCTAGTGATGCTCGTTCCTTCACGTCTGGTTCAACTATTCTTGTGGGCAGAGGTTGCTGTGTACGATAGAGCATAATATAGGCTTGCGGAATAGGGGTACTTCATCAGATCATAGAGCCCGTGGCGCAGATCCAAGTGTTAGCTGAAACACGGCTTTACAGGGAAATGTTCCACGTTGGTTGCTTGAATGCCTAACGGTGATGTAGTGTTGACTATTTTTATCTTGGTCCCTTCAATGTAGCATTGACGTCTGTGACCAGGGTGGTCCCTGTAAGTCGTTCCCCCTCTTTTGATATGAAATCGCGTGTCTTCCTTTCCCCTCATTCCTTCTTCCTCTTCCACAAGGTACAAGTCAACTATTGATGCACCAGCAAGATGTCACCCTCCAACCATTTGAGACAAGCAAGAATGCTTCTACATACAGTCGTGATACTTGGCGACGGTGGTGTTGGCAAGACTGCCATCACTAATCAATTCGTCGTGCAGTATTACGTCGAAACTGTAAGCTCGCTGTTGTGGTATGAGATGGGAGATGGAATGGCTGACAGTTTGCACAGTATGATCCCACTGGCGGTGATGATTACAGGAAGCAGATCGTTGTAGACGGCACACCGTGCATAGTAGAGGTCTTGGACACCGCCGGTCAGGACGAGTACGTAGCCTTGAGAGACCAATGGATCCGACAAGGGGATGCTTTCCTCCTCGCCTTCAGCATTACGTCCAGGAACTCGTTCACAAGTGTCAGAAAATATTACCAGCAGATCCAAAACATCAAAAAGTCAAAAGTGCCACTCATATTGGTGGGAAATAAATGCGATCTATCATCTACAGACCGTGAGGTCTCTTCTGAGGAAGCGGAGGCGTTAGCCAAAGAGTTCAACTGTACGTTTATTGAGACCTCAGCGAAGACAACCCACAACATCGACGAGACCTTTCACAGCCTGGTTAGATTGCACCGGGAGCATAAGGCAGAGCAAGAGCAGAAGGCTGCGGAGGCAGCAACAGTTGAAGCTCAGAGAAAAGGGGCTTCCCAGACTGACAGCGGCGGAGTGAAGAAGGCTGGGTGGAGAAAACGTCTTTCGGGCTTCATCAAGTCTCTTGATAAAAACAAAGGAGGCTGAACGATTGCTATAATATGACCTATCTTTGAACATGTCTAGAGCAGATTTTGCTCAATCGGAAGTTTAACGAAATTCAGACAATAAACCTTGATAGGCATTCTATCAAGCAACTTCCGTTCCAAGTAGGTCCACCCGGGAATCTCTTTCTCCGAAATAGCCATCAAGTTCAGACTAGAGGCACACGTATATCGCAAAGTGACCCGGCGGAGCTTGGGTAGTGCATGGTTCCGCATCAAAGCCAGCACTTCGCGAAAATGAGCACCATGGTTACTTGGGATGACAATCTCCTCCAAGCTTGGAGGGAACAGGCCCATGTCCATAATCACTCTTCCATCTCTATCCTCTGGCCCAAACAATTCTCGGAAGCTGACTTCCATCTTACGAAGCGATGGGAAATCATGAAAAGAACCCAACATAGTCTCATCCTCGGGAGTACTGAATCCATAGATGCGCTCACGGTGAAAATCTGTCAAAAGAGTAAGCTCTTCCAGCTGTTTGCCATACTCCCTCAACACATCACCGAACGGGCCGCTACGCCAGGTCCAAGGGGCGACGTCGCCCTCGTCGTAGTTGTCAATGTCGACGGCTGAGTAGCCATCTGCACATTTGAGAGACAGACGCCGGAGTTTGGGGTACCGTTTTAAGATGTCCTTGAGAGTAACCTCATCCACAATGCAGTCATCAAGGATGAGAGAATGCAGATTGCAAGTGCGGCTGGGTCTTGCGACGGGTTCTACCCAGGCCGAGTGCCAATTCACGTGTGCGAGACGTAGACTGATCAGATCTGAGCGTAGTAGCGCAGGCTCCACGTAGGAAATGCTGGTGTTCATTGGGCTATCATTGGCGTTGATGGAGATGTGTTTGAGATTCGGCAGTCCGTAATTTGCGTAGTTTCGAGGCGGGTCTGGTCCGTCTGGCTGCATTGAGCCTGCGAGTTGGTGGGAAATGCGCACATGCCAGTTCAATTCGGAAATGGTGATGTCGACATGCTGGACCGCTGTGGTGAGTGCGAGGATCATTGGCACACCGTCCACCTCTTCTTCGTCCACCTCTTCTTGCGCATCCATCTCTTCTTTCGCGTCCATCTCTTCTTGGGAAGAGGGCTTAATATCAAGCTGGGCCTTGAGGAGAGATGGGATATCTAGAGATTGAAGCACGCCATCCAAAAACGTTGCCTTGTCTGAAAAGTTCGGTTTCTCGTCCGATATGCAGAAGCTAGCCACGGAAAGGCTGCGAACAGCGCGGGCCAGAGAAGGGCATTGATACAGGGTCCTTAGGAGCTTCAACGCGCGGTGGCTTAGTGCCCTGTCTATCACTATGAAGACCGTGTGATAGAGAATTGGCTGAGCAAGACGGCGAAAGCTGCGGCTGACGAGGCATAGTGTGCGGAGGGGCCGGTATGGGTAATATTTCTCATTGCTATGAGGATCATTCTGGGGGATCAATTGGGAGAATATCTGCGTCCAGATTTCCTCGGGGAACTCCATGTTGTTTTGCTGTAAATCGTGGCGGTATGATGGAATTGGCAGACCGTGAATTGGCAGACCGTGAATTTGTGAACGAGCGGTTTATTTATTTCAAGCACGATTGGATCTTACATTGAGGGCACGTGCTACTGACCGCTCGAATCCTCCGCGACAGGCCCCTTCCCTCGATGGATTATGCACAGCCACTTTGCACTTGATAACATTGACGTGCTGAGGCACGTAGTAAGATCAAGTTAGGTAAGACTATTCACGTCCTATCGTCCTAAAATCACATACGTCGCAATACTGAGGCACGTGTCTGTCTTGGATACATACACTGATACTTACACTGCACCCTGAGGCTTTGTAAAACTCATACTGTAGATTAGTGGCCTTTAGGCTCTTTCAGTGATCTCTCAGGGGGGCCTTATCGTCGTCCCATAAATTGCTGTATAGCTAGGCACCAGCGTAAGATAACAATACATACACATGGTTAATAAGTGCCCTCCGTCAAGCCGCCTGTGACTACCTAGGTAGGTAGGTGCCTAAATTGAAAAAACTTATGAATAAATTAACGACTCCCACTTGAGGTCAAATCTCCCTGTAGGGCCATTAGCGGGCGGTGTGAGCGAAGTTGTAGAGAGTTGTTTGGTTTGTTCAATAGTCCTGACGTTTGCCAAGTTAAAACCATGGTGGCGACTATTATTGATATATTCCACATATTAAAGTGCTTGAGTCCATGAAAGTGTAGCTATCATCTCCTGCATTATATACTACGGTATCAAACTCTCCTTGGTCTTGGCAATCCTCAGTTGTCAGCTGAACTTCGATATAAGGGCAACCTTCGGCCTTTTCAAATTCGAACAATAAAGCCGCGATATCACTGCCACTACCAAAAGTACTTTGCTAGTCGCAAGTTAATCAAACCACCTAGGTTAACTTTCTTATCTTAATGAAGAAATCTGAGTTGATTGACTTATCATTATACAGCCATACGCAGGAATGTCCTCAAACAAGGGCTTTCTCAGATAAACAAGCCCCTTCCTTTCCATAAGTCCGGACAATTCGGCAAAATCAACCAAGTTCTCAAGACCTCTCTAGAAGGCTTGGAATTCCATTTCGAGCTGGCTAGACGTTCTGGCGATGTGTCATCTCAGTAGCCCGAACCGCCCGTCTCATGATATCCTGTTCCTCCTGCCCGCTTGTATCACCAAAGATCTCATCCATCTGCTCAAGAGTCTTGCCCATTGTCTCGGGAACCAAAAGCCAAGCCCAGACGCCGGCGAGGCCACAGAATACAGCGAAGAAGACGTAGGCACCGAAACCAATAGCCTCAAGCATGGGTGGAGTGGCAACGCCCACGGTGAAGTTGGACAGCCAATTGACACATGTAGCGAGGGCCACACCCTTGGCTCGGGAGCTCGTGGAGAAGACCTCGGGGGGAAGGGCCCAGCCCAGGGGCGAGTAGGAGGCTCCGAATATGAGGATGAAGAGGAAGGCCATTGCGACGCAAGCCCAACCTGCGGAGGGATTGGACTCCCAGTCCTTTGAATATAGACCGGCGAGGACCGCGATGATGACGTAGCAACCGGCTGTTCCGAAACCACCAACAATAGCTAAGGGTCGTCGACCGACTTTATCGATGATGACGAGACACACAGCGACAGCGACAAGCTGAAGAATGTTGAAGATTCCAGAAAGGATCAAAGACATCTCGTACGACTGACCGATGGAGCGGAACAGGGTTGGGGCGTAGTAGATGAACGCGTTGATCCCAGAAAACTGCTGGAAGAAACAGACACCGCAACCAACGGCTACACGCCGCCACTTCTTTCGGTCAAAGAGATCAAGCCACTGAAGGATTTCGAGTTTTAGACCCTGAACGCCGGGGTGTTTAGCATCCTCCATAAGTCTCTGAAACTCAACCTCGGCAACAATTGATTGGTATTCGCTCCTAACCCTTTCATCTGTTTCAGGGAGGCAGCGCAGCTTGCAGAGACTGGCTAGTGCTTCAGTATTCTTGCCCACCAAGGCTAGCCATCGAGGTGAGTAAGGGAAGAAGTGGATGCCAAGACCTAGCCCAGTTGCACCAACCATCTGAAGTCCCAAGGGAAGCCGAAAGGATGCTTCACCGGACATGTACCGGGTGCCGTATGTGATCCAGTACGAGATCACACAGCCAGAAACGATTGAGATTGACTCAAGAACAAGGAGTGTACCTCGCAGGTTGGGTGGCGAGATCTCAGAAATGTAGAGCGGCGCTCCCTGTTTCTTCGTGTTAGCGATGACTAAAACTAGACAAACCGAAACAAATCGCAAGAGAGCACGAAAACGATGACATACCATGGCCAGAGTTCCCACGCCGATGCCACCAATGGTCCTGCCGACGACTAACATGGTGTAATTGACAGCCGCTGTCTGTAGAATAGCACCGATGTTGAAGATGACGACAACAAGGGTCAACGCCCATTTTCGGGAAATCTTATCAGCCACGTATGGCATAAAGATGCAACCGATGAAAGCACCTAGCAGAAGCATACCAGTCATAAAACTGGTACCAAAGGCCGTCTCCGTCTGTGGGAAGACGGCGTGAAACTGGGGCATCACATTGATGATGGAGATGACACCCTGGTCATAGCCGAAGGAGAAACCTCCAAGGGAAGCGAGGAAGGCGGCTCCGGAGACATAGGGAGAGATGAAAAGCCCACGAACACCTGTGGGTCCGTAGGACACGTCGTCAAGAACGACGGGGTCATGGTCGACGTTATGGATAGAAGAAGCACTGTCCAGATGTTCTGCGTCTGGCTTTTGATCCCCATAATGCTTGGCTTGGTCTGCCATGGTTGACAAAGACTGCCAGTTGCCGTTTTGTCTTCAAAAAGGAAAGTAGAATGCAGTGTTGAACAAAAATTAGATCTGAAGGTGGAAAGAATTGGTTCTGCAGAAGACCAAATTTAAAAAAAGTAATCTTGGCCGAGAATATATACAGATTCGGATCAAAGAGGAAGTTGAATTTTGGAAAGCTAAGTCCTGGAGAGAATAATGCTCATGAGTGCTAGTCAGAGAATCTGGGGTATGGGGTAGTGAATACTACCAAATTGGACAATATTCGCCGTAATCTTGGCTCCACCCCCGAGTCTTTGGGAACCACTCATCAAAGAACCCCAGGTCATGCCCCGCATGGGGTAGGTATCAGGTATCTGGGAACGTTTGGAGCAAGCTCTTGGAGAGGCGAAGCGTGGATTGTGCCCCCACCCCGGCCCAAGGGCTTGTCCTAGACCTGGATTAGCCCTCGGGCAATCATGCCTGTTTTTGGTAGTTCTACGAGACTACGCAGTGCCCTGCCCTGGAGTCTGTTAGCTCGGGGCCCAAGATATCCCTATTGACCGAATCGTCGAAAATTACCGCCTTTGGTAGTGCCCATCACCAGAGGAGCAACACGTATTCTGCTCACGATGGAGTCGGCGAATCGAGGCTCTCCACTTACCATGATCCGGGTTGTCTCTTAGTGAGCCAGGCTTGGTATCGTTCAGATGTCTTTGTATCTTATAAAAGAAGATTGGGGAACATTAAGTCCGAGCAACTGTTTCTCATTCGACAAGCCTCGACACATTGATGTTAAAAACCCTATTTGTGGAGAGTCGATGTGGTTTTAACCCCTTACTATAATTTCAATGGAGGGATTTCTACGAAGTGCTAAGACGAGCGATCCTGCAAGCGATTTCGACATTTTTGTGTCACATCCTCTCTCGAATGAGCTTATATGCCCGTATGTACAGGGGTTTAGATGGTTGAAAGTATCTAAACTAACTTGTAAAGAAGTAGTACTCATATTCACGCCGAGTTTAGTCTTTGTAGAAGCCCAGGCGACCACAAGAGACGCGAGTCATGGCAAATTTGAGGAGCTCCACCATATGCTAGAATAGCCTTATGGCGTGGCTCTTGAATATCGCTCTTACTGTAAGCGGCGTACATCATCGTAGGCAGAGAAGAATATCCCGCTCTAAATGACAACATCCCCTCCATAGAACCTGTTCGCTACAGCTTTCCTTCTGTGCCTTTTTGTGGTCTGTTGTAGTTGTTCTCACAGATCACACAATATCTGCAGGGGTGCTTTGAAGAAATAATAATTTCCATGTCAAACACTTCTGCCCTCAGGCATCCATGTAAGAGGCCTACTTTGTTATTATCTAGTTGCCAGGTGATCACTTCTTACCTCTTTTGTGAGGTTAATGCCGCATGACGTTGCCAAAGACCCATAGTAATAATTAATGGTTTGCTTTTCCACGCGGACTTTCAGCAGCATTTCCAGCCAATCCGAAGTGGCCAAATCTTGGGTGTCCAGTGGGACAAGTCTTGTTTGCCTGAATTTCATGATCGTTTGACTTCCTGCAGTCTTGACCATCGATGGCCCCTGGCCAGGGTGTTGATTGTTGTCCGAGAGATGGGCTGGGCAGTCCTTAGGTGCACTGAGCGGGACAGAAACATCTCTTCTTGGTTAGCCAATCGATTCGTCAACATTTCTGTTTTCTAAATCTACCACTTAACAACTAGGGTCACTAATACCTCAGCCCAGATGGCCCAATCACCTTTGCAGGTAGACATCCTTGGAGATATCGGCTGAGCAAGCATAGCCGAGGTAGTGTCTGACCAGATATTGTGTAGGAAATGGAGTAATAATTATATAATGAGCATCAAGATTGCCTCTTGTCCTTCATAAACTGTTATCAAAGTCAATGAAGCCTCGCTGGATATATCCTTCTCGTGGTCATCCCCTGTCTTCCTTCGCCCCCCTCTCCCTCCTCGGAGCTTTGACACTCCGGTGAAGCTGTGGCACCCATCTTTGGAGACCAATCTATTAATACCCAAGGTGTTGTTCTCGAGTCCCATGGCTCCTTCTGTCATCGAGCTTTCTCTCAGAAGATGTATCAAGTCCAACGTGAAATGAAAAATGAGGTAGACACATGATCACTGCAAGCGATCTCCGAATCTGTTTATCTTATAAAAAACCGAGCATCCGTCCATTATTTCCTGCTCAGGCTCTATCCTTCTTAAGCTCTAAAGACTGTGCTAATTCTTCCTATGCCTCTATAGCGACTTGTAATTCCCAATGATTGCTCTCTTAGCGTAAATTGCGGATGTTGCTCCTGAATACCTCTGCTAATAATAGTTACTTTCATTTAGACCAAATACTTCACTAATACCCACGACTTTACCTTTTAGCAAAGCGCTGCAAAAAGTTCAACGTTGAGGCCGAAAGCTTAAAAGGGGTTCGCACCTCAACCTTGGGTTTGTACAGGTTAGAAATGCTTTATTTCTCTTGTTCTGGAGCAAACTGAGCCCTTTCAGTCTATCACATCTCACATTTACCGATTGCAAATTTTTTTGCCATGGCCACACAGGAAACTTAACAGCAGCATAGGGTAGGCAAACAACCTCCGAAAAGCGGACCTGGGGCCTTGTGGTTGGCTGCCGTTGATACGTACATTAAGGCACTGTTTTTTTCTGTGCCAGGTCGGTCGGGTCTCTTCCACATCATCATCGCCATCAAGATGCATCTCCTCGAATTGCCAGTCGAGATACTGCTGGGCATCGTTGAACATCTCGCTGAGGAAAGGGACATCAGTTCTCTTAGCCGGACGAGTCAGTCGCTGTTCAGCACGGTCATTTCGCACCTCTATGCTAACAATCATTTCCACCACGATGGCTCGGCTGTGACATGGGCCATCGAAGCTGGGCGGCCAGAAACAATCCAGAGAGCACTCAGCGCGGGCGTTGACCTTGTGCAGCTGCGTCATGTTACGCTCGCGGCGGAGCTTGGTAAAGCCGATCTTCTCAAAACCTTGCTGGAGGGCAAACTGAAATATGGCGGTTTTGAGAGTATGGAAATTGACGAGAATGACCGGTCTCCTTTGTATGTCGCAGCAAAAGCCGCGAAGTACAATACTGTCAAGATACTTCTGGACACAGGCAGAGTCGGGCTTGAAGCGTGGAGTCGCTACGACAGGACGCCACTACACATTGCAGCGAGCTATGGACATCCGCCGATGGCCAGACTGCTCTTGCATTACGGGGCTAATCTTATGGCCATTGATAAATTTGGACGCACGCCACTGGGATATGCCTGTGCACCAGACCACTACTTCTCCAGGCCCCGGCAGACGGCAAACCGACAAGGTTACGTCGCGACTGTACGAGTTCTTCTTGAGAACGGAGTAGATGTTCGCTTCAGAGAGATGAACAACTTCACTCCGTTTCATTCGGCCGTCCGTTATGGCTATTGCGATGTAGTCGAGCTGCTTGCAGCGAATGGCGCGGACGTGAACACTCGGGATCGACGGGGACACACTCCTTTACAAACTGCCAGCCTTGAATGCGGGACTCTTGAGATGACGCAATTACTCGTTCGCGCAGGCGCAGATGTCAGCGCGACGAACTTTCATGGCCACAACTCGCTCTACATGTCACCAAAGACGAGGGAGCCGGCACAAGTGGCCGAGTTCCTGTTCGCGCAGGGAGTTGAGATGACCAGAGACCTCGAAGGCAATACCCCGCTTCATTATGCAAAAGTCTCCTCAGACCTGGTCAATGTGTTTCTTTCCCATGGAGCCGATATCAATGACTTGAATCTGAGACAAGAGACGCTTCTGCACCTTGCTTCCTCGGACCCAAGTCGAGCTTCACTTGTGGAGATGCTCATCGAGCGTGGCGCGGATATCAAGTTGAAGGATGCCCAGGGACAGACACCCCTGTTTCTGGCAGTAAGATGCTCCTCGCTGAAAGCGATGGAGATCCTGCTAGAGCATGGAGCAGACCCCAACTGCCTGCCCAATAGTGGGTTGTCCATGATACAAATGGCAATCTCACGGCGCTCCGTGGATCAGACTGATCTCCTTCTACGCTTTGGGGCAGATCTTGGAAAATTCAACGAGCAGGGGCGAAGCGCCATGCATTATTGCGCGCTGTTTGGACATCTCAAGCTGATGGAGATAATGATCCAACATGGAGCCTCGACCAACGAGCCTGACGAACATGGGCGTACGCCTCTCATGGAAGCCGTGGTGGGGCATTCAATCAAGGCGGTAGATTTCCTCCTGAACCACGGAGCAAATGTGCATGCTGTGGACGAGGACGGACAAACCGCACTGCACATACTCACAGCGGTCCACGGTGCCAAGTGGTCTGACATTATCCAGCTCCTCATTCGCCATGGCGCCGACACGGAGGCTTTGGACAAAGAAGGTCGGAGCCCTTTATCTATCCTGAGGTCGGGAGTGGAAGATGTAGTAGTGGAGTTATTCTACCATCGCAACCCAAATCCTGATGCTTCTTTCGACCTATGAAGATGCCTACAAACCAATGCTCGAGCACCGTTCCGTTCCGGCTTCGCCTACCCGCATCTCTCATGGATTGAAAAAGGGATCAGCGAGGCTAATGAGAGAGCAACACGAGGGTCAGATCGTCTCATTAAATGCCGGAAATTCCTCATGTACAGTGGGGGTCCAAAAGTCTGTCAAAAAACATAATACCTCTATATCTGTATTATATTTTTCAAAATATAATATTATAACCCTCTCTTTTTAAATATATATAATTTTATAAGATAATATCTAAATTAAGAGCTTTTAATAATATTTTATCTGGAAATTATTAAGCTAATTAGAAAATTAAACCTGATATATACTTAGTAATTATTATAGTAGTTATAATTAGTTAAAAGAAAAGCTATATTATATATACTTTTTATATATCTCTAAGTATAGTAATCTAGATATTTTAATACTTTAAAGAGATAGGCTTATTAGATAATTTTTTAAGATCTAGATAGTCTAAGGTTCTCT